CCTGTCAGTTCTGCGTATATGTAATGCAGTGCTTCCTGCTTTCACCATGAAGAGGAACACGGAGATGAAGACTAAAACACCAGTCACTAAAGGTAAGAGACAAATGGTTCAGGAAAATCCACGTTTGTAAAGGGTGGGCCTCCTAGGCCTAACTGATGGCAAGTTTCGACACGAGACCCTCTCTCCTCGCCCCCGCGTATCTGCACTCAGAAATCTCTCGGGGGCCTTCTACCAGTTATTTGTCTTTGGTGTGATTATAAAACAACAACAACAACAACAAAAACATGACCAAGGCAATTTAGAGATTTAGGTGAAGGGGTGTTCCCTCAGTAATCCTTCCACGGATCTCCGTGTTGGGAGAACACTTTCAGAGTAAACTGCTGGGATCAAGAGGTACAAAGTTTCTTAACAATTTTTAGCTACAGTTTTGTTTTTATCCATTCCCCCACCCCACCACGGGTATGTACGGTGGTGAGCAGAGGATGAGTTGCTGAAATCAGTTCAGTCCTTTTACTGTATGGGCCCCAGGGATCCAACTCTGGGTCCTCAGGCTTAGAAACAGATGCCTCTACCCTCTAAGCCATCGTACTAGCCTGGCACAATGATGTCTAATGTACGGAAGACGTCACAGTTAAAAGTCACGTCGCTTCTCCTTTCCCAGCAACCTAGCTCTTTCCCTGGAGGGAATACTTTCCAGTTTCTCGTGCTAGCCAGAAAGTGCTACTTCATAACCAATTATTTGTGTATCCATTACAGGTGTGAGATATCCATTTGTGTATCCATTACAGGTGTGAACTATCTTTGTGTATTCATGACATGTCTGAGCTATCCGTCCGCGTATCCATGACGTGTGTGAACTATCCGTCCATGTATCCATTCCGTGTATATCACATGTGTGGAAAAGTATGCATAGATGCTTTTAGTATCTATAGTATCTATAGTATCTATGCATAGTTTTTCTCACGTGTGGTAGCCTACTCTGGGTACCACACAGGAGCTTGGTTCACTTTTGCTAGAATTGCTCTGAATAGTCAAAAAACCTGCCTGGAATGTGGGGCAGTGCCCAGTATATGTCATTGTTTGTCAGTCGCAACCCCATTAAGGGTTTATTGTGAGTGGGTCTTCCTACTCTTGGAAACCAGAAAGGTCTCATGGCTCCTTCCTCCTCCACCAGCCTCATCGTCATCGAATCCTGATCAGACACCAAGCCAGCTCTCTGAAAAGAAGCGAAGAGTTCCAACCATCTTGCTGCCAAACTGGTGCAAGGTAAGCTTTGGGTTTCCCCCTTTGACCAGACCCTAGCTTTGTCTGGAGAAGGCAAGGGCATTCCCACCTCTCTGCCCACCTCAGGGGTCTGTCCTGGCTGCACATGTACTGTACCTTCAAAGGACTTACCTCTTGGAGGGGCATTTTTCTAAGTGATGCTCCCCTGTTTCCTAATTTCCACTCCTGATAGGATGACACCAGTGGCATAATTTTCTTCCTTCTGTTTCCTGAAGATTTATTTGTTGTTTTTAATTAGGTGTATGTGTGTATATGTGTGCTTATGAATT